TTGGGCTCCTGGCCCCTTCAACTGAGAAACACCTGCTGGGGAGTTTGGTACAGCAGCTGTTAGTCAGCTCAGGCTGTCAAAGACCACAGACGGGTTGCTTCAACAACCCAGATTTACTGTCCCTAGTCCCAGAGGCTGGAAGTCCAAGATCAAGGTGTTGGCAGGTCAGGTTTCTCCTGAGGCCTCTGTCCTTGGTGTGCAGATGGCCATATTGTCCCTGTGTCCTCACATGGTCATCCCTCTGTGTGTGTCTATGCCCTAATCTCCTTCTAAGGACACCAGTCAGATGGGACTGGGTCTACCCTATGATGTTGTGTCACCTGTTTAAAGGCCCCATCTCCAGATACAGTCCCATTCTGAGACACTCAGGTGGTGAGGACTCCAACACAGGAAGTTTGGGGGCCTGAGGGCAGGTGTGTGCAGTCATAGGTGGAAGAAATCAGCCGTTTCAGAGCAGATAAACTCAGGTGTGGGTCCTGCTCCCCCCTCATTGACCTCACATCCTTGGGCAGGTGGCCATATGTGCCTCAGTATCCCCAGTGGTGTGCTAGTTTCCTACAGCTGCTGTAACAAGTGACCACTAACCGAGCGACTTAAACAACATGATTTATTATCTCCTGGTTCTGGAGGTCAGGAGTCTTCTGCAGGCCTCGCTAGGCTAAGGTCAAGGTGTGGGCACAGCCGTGTTCCTTTCTGGAGGGTCAAGGAGGACCCGTTTCTCTGTGTTTTCCAGCTTCTGGCCCCTTCATCCATCTTCAGAGTCTCCTCTGACTCGGCTACAGCCTTTCTCTTCCACTTTTATAAGGACCCTGTGGTTACATTGAGCCTGGATCCTCCAGGATAATCGCCCATCTTGAGGTCCTTAACTTAGTTTAGTTGTGTCTGCCAAGTCCCTCTGGCCATAAAAGGCCAGAGTGCCGGTTCCGGGGATTGTGATGAGCGTCTGTGGGGGTCTGTGGGGTCATTGGGCTCCCACACAGATTACCACACCTGTGTTGGAGGCTTGTTTTAAGGATTCATTTGGTTGATGAGACAATTTCCCTAATCCTTAAAAACACCCAGCACTGGCCTGGCTCACAGCGGACCATCAGAGGTAGGAGTATTTTCCGACAGCCCTCTTCCCCTCCCCAAACCTGCAAACAAATTCATGGGAACGCCCCGTGCTGCACACCCGGGCCCTGTGGTCAGGGTGCTCCCCAGGGCAGGGCTGTGCGGCTTCACCAACTCTGGGGTCAGGTTCCTGCTGGGCTGCTGTGCACCCTCAGAAAAGTTGCTTGACCTCTCTGAGCCTCCTCCAACTCCCCCTTCTGAAATGCGACATCCTCCCTGGCAGGGCCACCATGGGATCCAACCAGACACTCACGTAAAGGTGCGCACACGGTGAGCTCCCAGACAAATGCCCCTGCCTCTTCTGACCCCTCTCCCACCCTCCCTCCTGCTGTAGGGGTGGCTGGCGGCCTGACCAACCTCTCCAAGATGCCCGCCTGCAACATCATGCTGCTGGGTGCCCAGCGCAAGACGCTGTCTGGCTTCTCGTCCACCTCTGTGCTGCCCCACACCGGCTACATCTACCACAGCGATATTGTGCAATCTCTGCCCCCGGTGAGCCTCATCAGGTCCCCATCAGTCACAGCTGACAACAGTGCTCAGGAACCTGGGGGACAGGGTCGCACAGGTCTAGGAACAAGACTGACGCCCGGTAACCCAAAGACCTCACCCTAAATCACAAGGTCACGTTTGGCCAAGGCCACACCCCTTAGAGCCAGGCTAATTTTTCACTCCACACAGCTGCTGCTAATTAGTATTTTTATTATTAAGTGACACTTGTGGCTATGGGTTTTACACCTACCATCTTGCTGTTTCCCAAAACACAGGCCACCTCCCTTTTGTGGAACATAACACGGTTTTTAGTGATATGTTGCATGTTTTCTTTTTTTAGTCCTAACAAACTATCAATTTGGTATTTGGTAATCTTCCACCTGTAGCAGTTCCATTAAGTTGTCTAACCAAACGGGGTTAAGTTCTTTAAAAGTAAATTGATAGGAAACGCTGACGACGATAGTGTGTCACCATTACACCTATTACAGCGACACGTGGCATGGGGGTGACATGCTGACAGGCAGAAATTGAGCCTGTGGTGCCTAGAGCTTTGGGAACCCGGTGATCTCACTGACTTCTCGCCTTAACGTGGCCTCCCGTTTCCACTCTTCTAGGATCTCCGGCGGAAAGCGGCCCGGCTGGTGGCCGCCAAGTGCACGCTGGCAGCCCGTGTGGATAGTTTCCATGAGAGCACAGAGGGGAAGGTGAGGGCATCTGTGTACTTGGGTCTGTGATCTGTCGGGGGGCTCACTGCACATTAGCCCTGTCCTCAGGGCAGGGCAAGTGGGCGCGTAAATCTGTGACCCCGGCCGAGGTCAGCTTCCCTTCCCCCTGGTGTATTGTCTCCTGTTGGTGCTGCTCCAACAGAGGACCACAAACACAGTGGCTTAAAGCAACACGGGTTTATGATCACGCAGTCCAGTAGGCCAGAATCCAAAGTGGGCCTCACTGGGTTAAAATCAAGGTGTCCGTGTAGTCCGTTCCTATTGGAGGCTCAAGGAGAGGTCAATCCCATGCCTTTTCCAGCTTTTAGGGGCCACCTGTGTCTCTTGTCTTGTGGCCCCTCTCATCTTCAGAGCCAGCAGCACAGCATTTCCCATCTCTGCCTCTGCTTCTGTCCTCACATCTCTGACTTCTTTAAGGGCCTGGTGATGACCTTGGGCCCACACTCGTCTAATACTGTCCCCGTCTCAAGATCCTTAACTGGACACATCTGCAAAGTCCGTTTTGTCATGTTAGGTGACATGTTCACAGGAACCAGAGATTTGGACGTGGACATCTTGGGGGCAGGGGGACATTTTCTTGCCTGCTGTACTGGGCTCTGTTCCCTCTACCAGTGCTGTTATCATGCAGTAATTACTCAGGTGACCCACGTTCCATGGCAGACTTGCTCTGTGAGAGGAGAGAATTTTCTGTCTGTGCACTGTTGTCCAAGCACCCTACCTGGCACAGTGTTCAGGGCTTCCGTCTCTCTCTTTCTCTCACTACTGGTCTAGAGGCTGGGTGTTCAGGGCGAATGACACAGACAAAAGCCCTGCCTCTGTGGCACTGACATTTTGGTTGGAGGGCAGTAGCAGGTATAGCTTTGGTGTGTCCAGTGGTACTGAGTAAATGCTAAGAAGAGAAATAAAGGGCATTGGGTGATGAGGGAGGCTGGACTCAGGGAGGGCTTCTCCAGGAGGTGAGGTTTTCACATAGACCTGAGTAAAGTTAGCAAATGAGTCACCTGGATACTGGGAGAAGAGGGAGCAGGCAGTGCAAAAGCCCTGAGGCTGGAGCTCAGTGAGTCTGGGAGAGGAGGCTGGCGGGAAGAGGTAGACCATGGGCCTTTGTGCCTTCTGGGGAGCTTGGCATCAGCAGAGGTGCTGCGAAGGGGCTGATTTGGATTCTTCCTTGAAGAAGAGCCTCATGGGATTTGCAGGGTGAGAGAGAAACCGTGGAGTGGAGGCTGACCGACTCTTGTCCCCACTTGCTGACCTGCAGAGAGCGGAGGAGGTGGGGCAGGCAGGAGTTCTGTGTTTGAAAGGCTGTTCGTATCCGGGTGTCAAGGCAACAGCTGTCTGTTGGTGCAACCTTCAGAAGAGAGCCTGGGAGTCACAGGGTTGTGGGTGGAGCATAACCCTGGGGAGCCAACAGCTGCTGAGATCCTCTTGGGGCCAGGTGCAAGGTGGGCCCCGGGGCAGGCACCGCGGAAGGAAGGGTGCTCAGCAGATGGATGGGCCAAGGGACAGGGGAGGCCCGACTCAGCCGCACAGAGCAGCTGCAGCACCCTTTCCCCTGTGCCCCCCTAGGTTGGCTACGAACTCAAAGATGAGATTGAGCGCAAATTCGACAAGTGGCAGGAGCCCCCACCTGTGAAGCAGGTGAAGCCACTGCCCGCACCCCTTGATGGGCAGCGCAAGAAGCGAGGTGGCCGCAGGTGGGGCCCTGGGGACCTGTAGGTGTGGGGAGGGGGTCAGGAAGGGAGGCAGCTTGCACTGTCCCGCCTGACTCCCGGGTGCTCTATCCCAGATACCGCAAGATGAAGGAGCGGCTGGGGTTGACGGAGATCCGGAAGCAAGCCAACCGCATGAGCTTCGGGGAGGTCAGACCCCTAATGACCATCACTGTGGGACCCCAGGGTCCCCTCCCCACCCAGCACCGCCCCCTGCCTTCTGCCTCATTCTTTCCTCCCCATCCCCCCTCAGACCTGGGCACCACCCCAGCATCCTCCCTGGTCCCCTGGCTGGGCTCATCTCTCCTGTCCCCATCCATCCAGACCCAAAGGGATCTACACAGCCCTCAGCGCTGGGCCCTCCCCCTGAGGCTTCCTCTTCTAGGCACTGCAGGCCTCCCCTGCTCCTCCCTTCCCACGCCCTGCCTGACGTGCCCTTCCCCACGCCTCGCCTCTACCAGTCTCATCTGAGCACCCCCTGGTCCCACAAGAACCAGCCTCAGATGTCATTTGATCAGTGAAACCTGTTCCAGCTCTTGCTCTCTCTTTCTCTCTTCCTCTCTCTCTCTCTCTCTCTCTCCCTCTCTCCCTCTCTCTCTCNTCCAGTGTCCCCAGAAGATATCCTGGCAAGAAAGGGTCTAGAACCCTCCTGAGTGTGCGTGTCCCCCATGGCCCCCTGAGTGTACGTGCCCCCCCGCCCCCCGTGGCCCTGAGTGTGCGTGTCCCCTGTTTCCTTCTCACCACAGGAGCTGGGTAACAGCCTGGACAAGTGCAAGAACAATGAGAACCTACAGCAGATCCTGACCAATGCCACCATCATGGTCGTCAGCGTGACTGCCTCCACCACCCAGGGGTACATACCTAGTGGGGAGAAGGACTGCAGCCTGCCTTAGCCCCAACAGCAGATGATGATCTTGGGGTCCTAGTGGCACAGTTGTCAGTCTCAGGAGGACAGTTCATTTCAGTTCCACACGTGTTTAACAAGTGGCTCCGGCAAGCCAGGCACCGTGTTGAGCCCTTGGATCCCCTGGAGTCTTGGGGGCTGAGGCAGAGGGTGAGCCCCTAATCAGAAGTGACAGCAGGGACTTTGTTTTGGCTCTCTCGTTGGCATCTGCGCCATGCCTGAGAGGAGGAACTGTCTTTAAACCCCCGAGCAGAGTCCTATGGGATGGAGACCTCCCGCAGGCTATCATCTTGTTCATCAAACACATGTTGACAGAGTGCTGGGCACTGTCCTGAGGACAGGGTTACAGAACTCAGCAAAGCAGAGGTGGCCCCGCCTTCAGCGTTCCTGTCTGAGGGGATGAAGGTGCACATATAGGTCAAAGGCCGAAGGGCAAATGTTGGGTGCAGAGTGGGGGTGCCTACCAGAGTGGGTCTGATGGCTTCCTGGAGGAGGTGACGATGCGGCCTCAGGCAAGGAGCACGCTCTCTAAGGGGAGAACAAGTGAGCCCCTAGCTTGCTCCTGCTGAGGGGAGTAGTCCTGAAGCTGCACACATCTGTGTATGCACACAGCTGGGAGGACAGGGGCACCCACACCAGTCAGGCAGGAGACCCAGGAGGGGCCAGGTCCATCCCAGCCACATGTCCTCCCCTCCTCGCAGACAGCAGCTGTCAGAGGAGGAGCTGGAGCGGCTGGAGGAAGCCTGTGACATGGCGCTGGAGCTGAGTGCCTGCAAGCACCGCATCTACGAGTACGTGGAGTCACGCATGTCCTTCATTGCTCCCAACCTGTCCATCATTGTCGGGGCATCCACAGCCGCCAAGATCATGGGTGAGCCAGGCCGGGCACGGGGCCTCAGTGTTCTCCACAAGAGGTGG